CCAAAGCCTTGGGGGTTCTCTGGGAGGACTCTCAGCCCCACCTTCTCTGGGGGATCTGAGGGTCTCATCCAGCTTCTGCCACTGATGGATCCTCCACACCCCATCCCTGCAAGTGTCTGAGGCCAGGCTGGAGCAACCTGGGATGGTGGAAGGTGGAAAGGTGAGCTGAAATGGGCTTTAAAGTCCCTCCCAGCCCAAACCATCCCAGGATTCCATGTTTGGAAGGAATAACCACCGTGTGTTTATCTGGCCAAAGCCTTGGAGGTTCTCTGGGAGGACTCTCAGCCCTTCCTTCTCTGGAGAATCTGAGGGTCTCATCCAGAGCCACCTCAGCTTCTGTCACTGATGGATCCTCCACACCCCATCCCTGGAAATGTCCAGGGCCAACTTGGAGCAACCTGGGATGGTGGAAGGTGGAAGGATGGGCTGAAATGGGCTTTGAGGTCCCTCCCAGCCCAAACCATCCTGGAATTCCATGTTTGAATGACACATGAGGCTGCACCAAGCACTCCCCAGGAGCCCAGGACGAGTTTGCCTGGGACTCACCAGGGAGTCCCCAAAGAGCTGCAGGAGCAGAGGCCACAAACCTGATGTTTTAAACTGTTCCTCCACCACCACCGTGCTGGGAGACCATGGGAAGGTTCCTGCTGCTGGTTTGGAGCCATTCCCTTGGCCAGCAGCTGCATTTTTGGAAGCAGAGCAGCCCGTGCCTGTGTCTGTCCCCTTTTAGCCCTGCCACTGCTCAGACCCTCTGAACTGCCCCAAAACAGCCTGACAAAGGTGGTGTTGGCCAGAACAACCCTCAGACTGCACCAAAACAGGGATAACGTGGATCCATCACTCCCCAAATGTTTCCCCATCTCTGTAGATTTAAACCCTCGCCGTGATCTTGCAGCAAATCCTGTGGATTCTCAGAGCCCCCTTTGTTTTATGGGGTTCTTGATTCTCAAAAAGAAGCCTGCTGAGCTTCACTGCCTTGGTTTCCCCCTCATTTCCCACTCTGGCTCGTTTTTCCAGCCCATCAATAATCATGTCAGAGCTGCAGGCACCTCCCAACCCTGGACACTTTTTTTCCCCAAAAAAAGATAATTGCGTTTTTTTCCCAGATCCCCTCTGTGCTGTGTGAGGCCAAATCTGTGCAGGGCTGGGGAACGTGGAGCTTTCATTGCCTCCAACCCAGAAAGGAGCAGAAAGACAGAACTGGGTTTTTATGGTGCCCAAAGGGGATTCAGATCAAGGGGTTTGGATGAACTTCCTCCTCTCCCTTTGCTCCAACTGCTCCTTTCTTCAAACAAAGGAGATCATTTCCCAGCGATTTGGGGGATGAGGTGGAGCCAAATTCTTGGTGGTTTCCCTCAGTCAGTTCCCTCTGCCCAGAGCTGTGTTTGGTGACATTCCAGCTCTGGGAAAGGGAATCACAGCAGATCCTGCTGCTCCCAAGCCATACCTGGGGGTTACACCTGCTCAGGGGGAACATCAGGTCATGGGGTGGAACAGAAACCCAGGGAGGAGAAAATCCTCCTGAAATTTAAAGTGCTGGCGGATTTGGGATGAATCACCTGCTTAACAGGGGATTTCAGCAGCTCAGCTCTCCCTCCAAATCACTAAAAAGACATTAATTCCCTTATTTCCCCCCCTTCATTCCTCTTATCTTTAGTGGGAGATAAGGCAAGGACAGGCAGAGATTCCCCTGTTGCCAGCAGAGACAAACCAGAAGCGGAGCAAGGATGAATTTCCATCACACATCCCAACACTTCCAGCTCTGGCACAACCCTGGGACGAAGGAAATCAGCCTTCACTTCTAAAAATACCCAGAAACATTTTGTCCAGAGGTTTAAAAACACCCTGCTCACCTCTGAGCTCCCCTGGCACTGGATAGGAAGGGCAGAGGTTATATTTAGGGCAGTCCTGCATGGACAAGGTCATTTTTTTTTTGCTTCTTCAGGAGATTCCTGATAATGGATTAATTTTATCAAGGAAAACTCTCAAGGTCTCAGTGGAAAGACCAGAATGTCCTTAAATTCCTGTGCCAAACACAGGCCTGGGTGGGGAAAAAAAAGGGAATAATGGCAACGTGAAAAAAAGACTCTCCCCTAACAGGTGGAAACCCAGGCAAATGATCTTCCAGACCTGACCCTGCAAACACCCACATGTGGGCTTAATTTTAAGCATGACTGGTTCCTGAAAGTCTGGGATTTAAGGGATTACTCTTGCTCCAAATTGAAGCCACATGGATGGATCCGTGGAGCTGGAGCTCCCAACTGCCTGGGTGTGAATTGGCCCCTTCGAACTTTATCTCGTAATAAACACCAAAATAATCTTATTAACAGTGGCTGGGGGGTTGTGCAGCACCTCATACACAGATCCCTGCAATTATCTGGGGCTGTTATTATTATTAAAGCAGCATTTCAGCTGTGCTGCTCCATCCTCATCCTCTCCCTGCACCTCTGGAATCTCTCTAACATCTCATTTTTTTTCAGGATCTGCTTCAGCCAAGGGGCAGAAACGAAGTCTCACCACGTTTTATTCCCCTCCCCTGGAAAGGGTTTTCCTTTAAACCCTCCCATTGTGTCACTTCCACTGGTTTTGTGCAACACAAGTGATGCCACTGGGTCGCCTTTGGGGCTGGGAATGATAATTCCAGGCAAGATTAAGAACAACTTTCTTCTCCCAGTTCAGGGAGGAGCATATTGGTGGGAAATAATCCCCCTCTCAACCCCCAGTTATTAAAAACGGGTCTCAGTTTGAAGCATGTTCTCTTTTAAACCCTTTCCTGGCTTCAAAACTGCATATTCTTTATCTTTCTTCATGTCTGAGCCCTCCTTAAAAACCCTCCTACGTGTCTTCAGCAATATCTTGCAATAACGAGCCTAATTATGAAATATTTTTATTTTTTTTTATTCTCAGAGCTATTTTTTTTTCCTCAGCCACGAAAAGTGGAATATTCACAACCCAAGGCCACTGAGCAAGAGCTGCAACCCCTGCCCTGGGTGGAGGGGGGTGGTGGGAGCAGCATCATCATCCTCTCCCAGCAGCTCATCCCCAACTGCAGAAACCAGGGATAGAAACTGGGCACTGGAATAAAATCAGGGAGTGGCATCACCTGCCCTGAACTCTCATTCTTAAGTTTGGCTGCAGTTTAACTGTTTCTGGAGAAAACTCCTTCCCTCTGGAGTGAAATGTGTTGGGGCAGATCAGTGTCCTTTAGTTCTTCCCCATTCCCAAGTGGGATTTATCAGCAGGATCCTTGTCACCAGCACAGCCTCCAAATTGAAGGGAAAATGTTCCATCCTGCCTCATTTCAGCCAGGGAAAGGGGAGCCTGTTTTCCTTGCAGCTTTCTTGTTCAGCCACTAAATAAATTTCCTGAGCTCTGGATTTGTCCTGCTCAACTTTATTATAAACATCAACCTTTCCAGGGAGCAGAGACTTGGCCCCTCTGAAAGGTGCTCCAAGGGCTGGAGTTCCTCTGGAGCCAGGCTGGGAGAGCTGGGGGGGTCACCTGGAGAAGAGAAGGATCCAGGGAGAGCTGAGAGCCCCTTCCAGGGCCTGAAGGGGCTCCAAGAGCTGAAGAGGGACTTGGGACAAGGGATGGAGGGACAGGACACAGGGAATGGCTTCCCACTGCCAGAGGGCAGGGATAGATGGGATATTGGGAAGGAATTCCTCCTTGTGAGGGTGGGGAGGGGCTGGGATGGAAATCCCAGAGAAGCTGTGGCTGCCCCTGGATCCCTGGAAGTGTCCAAGGCCAGGTTGGAGCACCCTGGGCTAGTGGGAGGTGTCCCTGCCCGTGGCACTGGATGGGCTTTAAAATCCCTTCTAACCCAAACCCTTCTGGGATTCCAGGATTCTCTCCAGCACCATTGGAGGCTTTTCCCATTTCTCCTCCTCTTGAGCCACAAGCTGCCTTCTCCCAGCAAGGGCAGGGGGGTTGCAGTGGCCTGGGGGGTGGAGGAGGGGATGGCAGAGGATGTGGAACCTTTCGGGGGGGTCAGCCTGGATGTTCTCCTTCCTTGAGAGAATTCCAGGAGCTGCAGTAGCAGCTGGGGCTGAATCCAAGCCCTGGCCTGCAGTCTGTGGATCAAATGCTCCCTCTGCCTTTCCCTGACGTTCAGGTGACATGGAAAGAACCAGCAGCAGCAGCTCAGGTGTCTCCTCTTTTACCTCTTAGGGCTCTTTTTAATCCTTTTCCAACAGCCTCCTTGTCTTCTTTCCAACCCACCTGATGGAATGAAGTCACCAAGTTCATCTTTTTCTCCAGCTTTATTTTCCAGGGGGGTTGGGGAGTGATGGAAAAGCTCCCACGGTGCCACTTTGCGAGGTTTGGAGCTCGGATTGAAGCTCCCAGTGAGTCCCCACGAGGGATTCTGTGCAGCCTAACGAGCTGAACTGGGCCCTGCAGCCCCAGCCTTGTGTGCTGAGGGTTTTATGTAACGTGGGAGAAAAGGGGAACCCAGTGTGTGTGCGAGGAGGGAAAATTGCTTATTCCATAATGACCGTTCCGCTGCCTGGGACAGAGGGGGATAATTAGGGTTTCTTTTCTCTTTAATTAGAAAATGGCAAACATAGATTAATCAATTACAAATGCCTCTTTATCCCGCGGTGCCCTGCAATTAACATTACTTAAATGTGTTAACAAAGTAGGAGGCCTGCATTTGTAAAGCAACTTCTTGCTGCTTTTTCTTTCCCCCTTCCCCCGGTTTCCCGGCTCCCGACGCGTCTGAGCCCTTTCCGTCCTCCCTTCCCCCCCGTGCAGAGGTTTAACCCTCCTAGATGAGTTTATAAATCATTATACCAAAAAAAAAAAGCCCTTTTTGGCGGGGCTTGGAGGGGGGAATAAAGCAGGGGAAGCCGTGGATACTCGCCGGGCTCGCACACGACAATGGCAGAGGAAAATCCAGGAAATACAATAACTCGATTCATGGCTCGTTTCTTCCGCCGCTGCCAAAAGCGTGATTAAGTCACCGAGGGTTCGATCAGGGACACGCAGGGTAACAAAACCCTCCTCGCCATTGACAGGGCGCTATTTTCAGGGAACATCCAGTGCTGTGCTCCGGACAAAAGTAGGGGAGGACGGGACGGGGAGGGAGAGGGGAAGCCCGGGGGGGGAGGGAGGGAGGGAGCTGCTGCTTTCGAAGGCGCAGAGAAGGGACGGGCAGGGAGGGAAGGCAGGGTGGTCCAGCGGCAGGAGCATCCCGGCTCACCTGGAGCCGCTCCCGTGTGTCCGGGCACTGCTGCCATCTATTGGGAGCGAGCGGCTCCAGCCCGATCCAGAGCCGGGGTTGGGAAGAGGATGGGAGCGGGGAGGTGTCACCGCGGCCCGGAGCATCGGCGGCCTCGGGCGGGGAGGGTCGTGGGGCCGCTGCACGCGGTGATTCCAGAGCCTCGTGGGATGGGTTGGGTTGGGAGAACCTTAAATCGTCCAATCCCCCCCTGCTCGGGCCTGCCCTGATCCCAGGATGGGCAGGTGAGAATCCCGGAGGAACTGTCGCGTTAGACTGGGATGGCCTCGGATTGAAGGGTGATGAGGAATTCAGGGGTGGGAGCAGGAATGCTCCCACCCGTGGAATCCCGGGGTGGTTTGGGTTGAAAGGGCTTTAAAATCATCCTGTTCCACCCCCTGCCACGGGCAGGGACACCTTCCACCAGCCCAGGTTGCTCCAAGCTGGCCTTGGACACTTCCAGGGATCCAGGGGCAGCCACAGCTTCTTATATCTCTCCTTGCATCCTTAGGAATTGTGTGGGAGCCCCAAATCGCCCTCCTGGACCCCCAAGTGCTGGTGACACAGCCCAGGCTGAGCCATTGCCTGGTGATGCTCAGTTTTGGGGTGGAAGAGGTCAGGTTTAGGTGAGACATTGGGGAAAAATTCTTCCCTGTGAGGGTGGGGGGGCCCTGCCCATGGCAATGACTTTGGGATTGCTAAAGGGTTTTGGCATTGCTGAGGCAGCTGGAGCTTCCCAGAGCACTGAGGGAGGAAGGAGAACAGGAATTGGGATGCCAAGGGGCTGTTCCTGCTTTGGAAGAGCTGGGAATTAAATAGGTCAGACTTGGAATGGGGCTCTGGGGTTCTGTTGATGCCTCCAGGAAAGGGTTTGGATCCACTGGTGCCCAGTTGGGGGTCAGTTGGGATGGAATTCCCAGAGAAGCTGTGGCTGCCCCAAGATCCCTGGAAGTGTCCAAAGTCATGTTGGAGCAACCTGGTCTGGTGGAAGGTGTCCCTGCCCATGGCAGGGGGTGGCACTGGATGGGCTTTAAAATCCCCTGTAACCCAAATCCTTCTGGGATTCCGGGATTCTCTCCAGCACCGTTGGAGGCTTTTCCCATTTCTCCTCCTCTTGGACCACAAGCTGTGACCTCATCTCATTCCTGTTCCATCTCTGCATCAGTTCTCTGCTCTGGAGAATGAGGACAGAGGGGAAAAGCTCATGGGAGTCATTCATGGAGTAAATTGAGCGTCAGAGGGAGGAAATATTCCGTGTTCACCCAGCTTGTTCCCTGTGTGGTGAAGATGAACCATCAGTTGGGCTTTGGGATTATCCTCTTGGAAATAAAAAGGCAAACTGAGGCAACCCATGAGTGCAAGTAGGGGAAAACCACATTTTAGTGCGTGTTCAGCAGGAACATGTGCTCACCATATCCTATAGCTTAGGTGTGTTCAAGCAGCTGCTTAGTGTGCATTTATATAATAACTTAATTGGAAGTGGGCTCTGCTTGGGGAGATTAACTTTGCAGCATTGAATGCCTCAATTTTTTGGAAACCTCTTCAGTGCAGGGACTGCTGGTCAGGCCTTTTTTGGTTAAAACAAGCTGACAGAATCTCTTGAAGGTGCATTTTAAAAGCTCTCATCTGAGAAGGGCTGGATCTGCCCAGCACAACCTGCCTTTTTTTTTCTGAGTGGGAGCACTGGGAATTTCCTTGCAGGCCTTAAAAATCTGTGTTTCTTAAACAGGAAACATTTACTAAAGAAGTAACTCGCAACTCACAAACATAAATAGACTGGCACATAGCTCGAGTTCCAGCTTTGTCTCCTTTGTTTACCAGGAATTTGTCAGACAACTGTCTTGGGCTCTAATATATCCCATGGAAGCCTCGGGCAGCTCCATCATATATTGCAAGGGAAAAAAAACTGGATGGGAGGCAGAAATTCCCAGCCTGGGCTGGGGCTTCTCCTTTCTGATCATTTTATGGGATAACTTGTGGAAGTGAGTGTGTGAACTGAGAGGGGAGGGGGGACTCAGGGAGCACCTGGAGAGTCGCCCTGGGGGGGATCACTGGTGCAATTCCCACCAAAAACAGGCAGGGAATGTGATTGTGGAGGTTTTATATCATTTAATCAGGATGGGGGTGGCCAGAGGTGCCCACAGGTGGGTTACTGCTGGTGACAGCCCCTCACTCCACCCTCCCAGCCCCTTTTCCTGGACCTACCCAGCAGGTGAATCCATCCTGGAGATGGATTTGGGAAGGGAGCAGAGCTGCCTGGACGCTGAGGCTGGTGCAGCCTTTGCAGGCAGAGCTGGGTAACAAGTGCAGCCTCTATTCAGCCACTTTAATGAGGAAGCTGAGGCTCCAAAGCTCCGGGAAGGGGGATGGGAAGGCAGGAGCAAGGATGGGAAGGCAGGAGCAGGGATGGGAAGGCAGGGGCAGGGATGGGAAGGCAGGGGCAAGGATGGGAAGGCAGGAGCAGGGCTGGGAAGGCAGGGGCAGGGATGGGAAGGCAGGGGCAGGGCTGGGAAGGCAGGAGCAGGGATGGGAAGGCAGGAGCAAGGATGGGAAGGCAGGGGCAGGGATGGGAAGGCAGGGGCAGGGATGGGAAGGCAGGGTCAGGGCTGGGAAGGCAGGAGCAGGGATGGGAAGGCAGGGGCAGGGATGGGAAGGCAGGAGCAGGGCTGGGAAGGCAGGGGCAGGGATGGCGAATTCTTTGGGTCAGCAACAGAAATTTATTTAACCATTAGACATATATGATATGATATGATATGATATAATTGATATATGTGCTCCCCCTGTCCCTCCCCAGTTCCCAGTTGGTCCCCAGGCTGCTGATTCACTCCCAGTGCCCGTGTCCAGCTGATGCTCCAGAAAGTCCCTGCGTGAATCCAACCCCAAAATAGCTCCGCTCCCCCATTTCGGGGCCAAACTGCCCTTTGATTCTTTCATTCTAAATCCTGATTTTAGCCTCTGCAAAGCCAAAGGGGTCCTGGGGGTGGAAAAAGGGCTGTTGGGAAGCCAATTTAAGCTGCCCCAGCACGGCCAGGGCACGACCCAGCCCTGCTGGAGGCAGGGGAGGCTTCCCAGAGCCCGGAGCTGTCCCTGGCTATTCTCGGCGTCCCTCTGGATATTTAACTGGGATTCTGTGCCTCTATTAGGGCCTTTCCCTGCTCCTCATCACCAGAGGAGCTGAACAGCTCAGAGTTCTTTGCATCCCTGCCCAAATTTGCCCTGTTATTCCCGGGAAGCCGCGCTGGGGGAGCGGAGGGAATGATGTTGCAGATTTTGCTGCCTGCTGGCACTGCACACGAAAATAACCAAAACTCCTGGCTATTTTTAGTGCCAGAGCATTCTCAGAAGCTTCCTGCCTTGATTTCCCTGCCTCCCCCCTGCTTATTGTTCACTGCTTTGGGCTGTGTTGTCATTCCAGGAGTGGCCCCCAAGCCTCACCTGCCCCAGAGAAAAAAAATAACAACTCAGTTTCTGTGCTATGGACTCCTTAATTTCATTTTTGTGGCCATGCCTCTTCTAGCCAGCTATTAAGTGCTGTTAATTAGGCAGCCTCCATCCTAGGAGATATTTGCTACCCCAAATCCAGGCCTTGGCAAGCCCGGATTGGAAATTTTTCTTTGGCAAGTTTAAATTTTTCTTTGGCAAGTGGAAATTTTTCTTTGGGAAAGATCTAAGCAATTTTTTCAGGGATTATTCCAGCCCCTTTTCTCTCTCTCTCTCACGAACCCTGCCTGGTGAGCAGGAGGCTTTCAGCATCACTCTGAAATCCCTGGGAATAATACCTGCTCCTACCTGTCCTGAGCCATGGGAAGAGCTGAGAAATCAGGAATTCCTGGTGTGAGGTTGTCAGGAGCTTTGCAGGGCGGGATCAGCTGTTTGGGGGGTGTGACAGTGACCACTGTGGAGCAGGTCCCTTGATTTGGGGGGCACTGGCCAGCAGCCAAATTGTCCTGGAGCCCCACTGAGAGTTCCCTGCAGCATCTGAGGTACCAGAGCCTTTTCACGTGGCTCCTGCAGTGAAGGACAGGGTTTATTTTGGTGGGAAGAGCAGGAATTTCCAAACAAAGTGGCCAAAACCTGAGTGGAATTGGAAGAGTGAGCACAAAATGATGCTGAAACCCCTCCTGCCTCCCTAAGCCAGGTTGGGTTCCAGTTTTCTCAGGCTTTGTCCAGCCCTGGCTTAAATATCACGAGGGGTTCAAATTACTCCTGGGGCTGGTGCAGCCAGGTCTGAAATCTCCAGGCCTGACCTGAGGGATTAGTGGTGTGTCCAAGGGTCCTGAGCAGCCCTGGCTGGAGGCACCCCCAGCTCCCCTGGGTGGGAAGGCAGCTGGCAGGAAACAGGCCCCTTCCTCGGGGTAGGAATCAGTGTTTCCTTGAGCCCAGGGATTAACAAAGCCTGGTTTCCCACAGATTTGTGTCTTGTGGGCAATTGTTAAGCACATTTGAAGCTTTTCCCACAACTGGGGGGTGTTTGACATTCCCACTTCTTCCCCCCTGCTGTCCTGGTGTCCACTTCACCTGGTGGTGAGGTGCTGTGGGCTTTGAGTGGAGGGGTTTTGGGGTTGTCTTCTAACAATTTGGCTTTTGGCAAAGGGCTTGGGGAACTCCAAGGCATTTATGACCCCAGCAAATGCAGCTGAAGGTGCCCAGAGGATTCAAACCATCAGAAACGTGCACACACTCGTGTTTGGAGACATGTCACCTTGTTACCTCGGGCTAAACCCACTAAGAATGGACTTAAAAATCATGGCAGGCTTCACCAACTCAGCTGGGTTTTAGTTCACTTGGTGGTTTGAAGATTTGGGGGTTTGGGGATGTTTTATGGGGTTTTTTATTTTGTGTAGAGCCCAGTTTGGAATTTTTGGCTGAAAAACCTCTGCAAGATTAAATTCTGCTAATCTTGAAAAGAGGCCTGGGGGCATTATCCTGATTTGCTTAGGACAGGCAGAGCAGGACCAAAATCCTGAGTTTTGGGTTCTAATCTGGCTGAAATGTCAATTTGTTGCTACTGGATCCAATCATGGATCAGGCCTTGAAGTCTCTGTATCAGTTTCTGGATAAAAGATCTCCAGAAGATCCCCAAAAAAACTCCTTTATCGTATTTAAAATTCAAACTGGGAGCTGAAACAATGGAGTTCCCCAAACAACAGCCCCTTGGTGTTTGGGTGGCTGTGACATCCAGCTATGGCTCAACCAGAAACCTGCAGCCAAATCTTCCAGGGGCTTGAACTGGGTCAAATTCCCAGTTCACACGAGGCCTTTGAGCTGCTGATTCTCAGGGCTGATCACCAGATCAGTGGCAATTAGACCAGACAATCAATCCCTGTTTAGTTTCCATCTGATGCAGCAGCAATCTGGGAGACAAATCTTAATTTAGGACTACAAAGGGAGATAAAGTATCCGTAGAAATCGCTTGTCCTGGTTGGGGATGGCTCTATTTTCCTGCAGCTGCTTCAGAAGGAGCTGCTGGGAAGAATTAAATGGAGCTTTGGGGATGCTGTGACCCCCTGGAAGTGTCCAAGGCCAGGTGGGAGCAACCTGGGCTGGTGAAAAGTGTCCCTGCCCATGGCAGAGGGTGGCACTGGGTGGTCTTTAAAATCCCTTTTAACCCAAACCATGATTGCTGCTGTGAGAGAACCTTCTTCCTTCTTCTCCCTTCCCCTTTGCAAGCTCCCCAAAAATCACCTGTTTGCCTCGACGTGGTTTGAGTACCCAAAACTCTGCTCTGTAAAATCTGCTTTTCTCCTGCTTTCGGTGAAAAAGGAAAAAAACCTGGTTAAAAAATGTGGACCCTGGAGCTGTCAGGAAACAGCTGGAGGTGAAATTTCCCTGGCAAACCCCAAAAGTCTCCTTGGATGTAGAGGACAGCTCGGAGTTGCTGCTTCATTGTCACTCCCAGTGTCCTTCATCCTTTTTGTTTGATCCACTCCCTGCATCCCAGTTTCTTTCTTTCACTCCCATCCCCAGAGCTCCCTTGGCTGGCTGCTTTGATGACACCCTCTCCTGCCTCTTTTCCTAATGAATGGATGGAAAAAAGGTCTTCTGACTAAGCTAAAAACCCAGGTTCTTCCCTGGTTACTGCGCTGGGGAGAGAGCTCGGAGCAGCTGGCGGATATTTCTGCCAGTCCTTTTCCTCTTCTATTTTAAGTTTGGATCAAAAAAGAGGGTGCAGGGAGAGGGGGAAAAAAGAAAAAAAAAAGGAAGAAATGAGCTTGGAAAGCAGGATCCATTATTCAGGGCTCCTTGTTGCTCCTCTGAGGAAGGAGGGAGGTGTGAGGTGCACTTGGAACTGAACCTGAGGAAGGAGGTGGGAAGTGGAGGGTTGGAGGTGCTGGTTTG